CTACGTCAAAAGAATGGTTCAAGTTGGAATTTTCTTTTTCTGCCTATCTGTCTAATAGATATAGGAAACATTAAAGATAACAAGTGAAAATATCGACTGAACACTGATTCACCACTTAGGATGACTAAATGGGCAAAGCTTGCGAGAGTGTAGCTTAATATCAGATCTTCGAATGGTTTGACTGGGATTTAAGGAAAATTAACCGAAGGGCTATTTAGCGCAGTTTAGTCTAAGCGCGAAAACAGCAACTCATAGGTATTCACGCATAGTTTACTGAATGAAGAAATCTTTTGAAATACTGTTTTATTTATCGAACCATCTTTAGAGGTATTTATAGTCACTATCCTTTATTAAGTCTTACTATTCTTATGATAATTAGTTTCACATATCTACCGTTCTATAACATTACCAACTCAGCAAATCATGAGAGCTCAACTGAGACGAAGTTCTTAACTAGCACTTATTCTCTCAATTGTAACTATTGGTTAGATATTTTGGTTATAATTAAAGTGATTCACTTTAATTATAATAGCAATACCTAGCTTCTTTTAAGACTAATAGAAACCGCAGAACAATTGTAGCTCGATACCTTAAGTTAGAAATATCTTTTGTCTCATAGAATCAATTAATTAACCAGGTAAAAGCTTCCAGTACCATGGAAGAATCTTTTGGGTGAGAATGTTTGTAAAGCGTAGTTATAAGCATACCTTCGACGTTGATAGTTTTGTGATAGCTTTTAATTTAATAGATTTACTAGGAGATCTTTCAACTTTATTGTTTGATCGTGCTTGTTTTACGACAAGAGACTTCATAATAGAAGGGGCTGTTACGCGTTTCACTCGAATAACTGATGGATTTTTCATGCCGAAGCTTTTCGATGCAAATACGATAATGATTTATTGTTTGAATAAAAAAAAAATATTCCAAAGAAGAAATCTTTGTTGACTATTGTCAATAGTAAAATTTTTCATCCAATCTAGAAGCTTGTTTTTTTTTCTTTTGCATCATACACTACATAGTTGATTAAGAAATATTGTTGGACGATGATTGAATTTGTAAGCTTAACGATGTATGACTTTTCTCTGTTCTCTTGATTGTAGTAGTGAATCAGATCGTCTCACATCTGTTTCTTTGATCAAAAAATACGGACAAACAACCGGATAAACAATAGGAAGCATGCATCCATCTGTTTCGTTCTTTCATCATCTTTTATTGATGTAGAAGGCGAAAAAGAATTATAAGGGTATTGCTCGTTGAAACCTAAGGAATTAATTAAAAGTTAAGAACCAATGAGATTCGATGCTTTAAACAATATAACAGTTGTACGTCATATTGATAGACACATGAGATAAAAAAAACACAAAGATGGTCAACCATATGTTCAACATTCATCAAGACTAGCTCTACTGAGGCTTGTTGCTTATAAAACAGTCTGAACAACATGTAGCTGAAAAGTGTATAAAAACTTCATTGCATATCAGTCTTATTCCACCTTCGAAGGAACGTATGAATAGCACTGAATTCTGGGCAGTAAAGCCATCTTTGTAATCTGCACAATGAAATTGTGTATAACTACAGCTACGATATTGACTCTACTCGAATGTAAACTTTAGTTCGAAATTTAAGGCAAAAGCTTCTCTTAGAATTTTCAGTGTGACTCAAATTCAAATCTTACATAGATTCTAAGTTTCTACAGCATGGGATCAATATTGACAAAACAGTGTATTCATCTAATCATCTTGTTCATAATATGAAGATATTTTTTTGAAAATTTTTCATTATGTTTTTGAATTTAATACTCAACAGTCGTTTCATACTTTAGATGATGATACATAAGTATAAAAAGTGAAAGTAGGATAACTAATAAACAATACTTCATAGTATCTCATTGAGAATCATAAAAAATGTTGATTCACACTTGTATGGCTATCAGTACCATAACTAAAAATAACACATATTGATATGAAGAAATGCAGAAAAGAAAGAATAACAATAATAAAACAAATGAGAATAGTAAAAAAATGGAGAAAAAAGAGAAAATATGCAACTTCAGCATATTATTTTCTTTCTGTCATGTTAGTATTTTTTAATTAAAAGTACTTACATGAAAACAAGCTATTCATGCCGATCTAACGGCTTTCATGCACCATGTCTAAAAAAACATTAGAGAGTTGACTAAAGTATGTATGGGTCTGTCAAACAATCATAATGTTAACATTTCACCTAAGGAACAAGGATTATCATACGGTACCACTTTTGATTCAAAAAAGAAATAATTTTCACAAGATTACTTGATTGCCCCGATGAATTATAAAGTAATTTAACGTAAACGAATGATATAATAGTTCTGTTTGACTTCTTTTGTGTCAATAGATGCGGTAGAATTTGCCAGGATCTAGGATGTGTGTTTTCTTCACTCCAACATATCTACAACCAATCTCAAGCTCACACCTACTATATTGTTTACTGATATCGAATATTATCTGTGTCAGGGGCGTGTATTAGAATTACAAGGATTGAATTCTTATTCAAAACTAATTATACTAAAATCATTTGTATTTTTCACTTCTTAAAGCAAACATTTCGCACAGACATGAGAAATAGCGGAATGCACACAACTTGTAAAGCAGGATATGTATATAGTCAATTAGTAATATTCGTTGCTAACAAAAATTTTATGAATGCATATAGCTCGAAGTGGGGTGTGGGTGTGGGCTTTTCTTCTTAGATCAGCAACATTCACAGCCACATTCTCGATGAAGTCATGGTTGTGAATAAATGGTTTGATATTCTGAAAGCTTTTGGAAAACTGAACAACTTGTGTGTAGAACGTTTATTTGTTGGGTATGGGTGACGAGAAGATCCGCAATCACACACCCACACCCTTTAGATGATGATACATGAGTATAAACAGTGGAAGTAACATTACTAATAAACAATGTTTCATAGTATCTCATTGAGAATTATAAAAAAAATTGATTTACACTTGTATGATTGTCATCACTATAGTTAAAAACAACATATATTGATACGGAGAAACGTAGAAAAGAAAGAATAACAATAATAAAACAAATGAAAATAGTAAAAAAATGAAGAAAAAAAAAGAAAATATGCAACTTCAGCATATTATTTTCTTTCTGTCATATCAGTATTTTTTAATTAAAAGTACTTACATGAAAATAAGCTATTCATGCCGATCTAACGGCTTTCATTCACCTTGTCTAAAAATACAAAGTGTGGGTATGGATGTTTTTGGATTTAGCTATGACTGAAGATTCAAACCCATACAACACTCACTCACACCATTATGTTTATTTTAATTTCAATTTTTTTAATTTCAATTTAAAAATAAACTAAAATTCTATAATTTAGATCCATTCTTAGATTCAAATATAATTCTTCTATAAAGATATTACAATTATATTTCAAATAAAATTATTCTTGATTGTTGTTAAAATTTAGAAATTTTAAAGGATATGAATAGGCAACTGTCATTTAGACGTAAACAGCTGCTTTGTAATTCTATCTAGTTTTTGTGCTCCAATATATTTTTGTAGTTTTAGTATAAAAAGTACACAATTTTTATTCTTATAAAGGTACTTGATGCCTATGTTTTTTTTATATAGATCAGTCAAGATTGCTAAATTGCATATGATCAAATATTCAGTCAACTCTTGACGTCACTATTAGTTTTGAGGGGCTGCACTTATTAAAAATAATAACCAAATGATTATTATTTGACTATCTGGCTTATATTCTAAAGGCATTTAATTCCCAATTAGATATGGTAAGAAATAATGGAAATGCTCAAAAATTTCCTGCACTACATTACATATCTTTCTAGTTTCAATATGAACCGGTCTAAACCAGTTGCCTAGAAAATAAGATCGAAGCCAAAGAGACTGTTTGAAGAGTTTAGACTAGTCCACCTATTCTTCTGGCTTGTTTCTTTCACTGACAAATCTGAACAATATCAATAGATAGAACAGACTAGTCATGACAAAATGTGGACATGTTCTGAACTACGTAGTCTATGTTTAGTTACACAGTATTCCTCGTCAAGACGACCAGTCTTAATGAATTCCAAATCAGTTCAGACTAGATCAGACGGTAGTACGGATATTTGAGACTAGTCATGTTGGGTATCCTTTGTTTTATTTTGCTCATCTAGAAGTCCTTTGATTATTCTTTGTTAATAATTTGATAATGTTTTCACACAGGAGAAGTTTGACTTTTTCGACACGCCATGATTCGTTCGAAGAGTTGAAAAAGTTTTGCGTTCTTGCATAAAATTCTACTCTGAATCATCCTGATATCATTATATATGTAACTAGTCTTATCTCAAACATACGTCCGTCCACCTGGTTGGAGCAATAACAACGTGTATCACATCAATGTTGCAAAGATGGTGGCAAAAATTTGGTTGTTTTTTGCGTCGAAATCGAAGAGATGTACCATCGACAGTACCGAATAATTTTATTCTCACTTCTTGTGAACAAGTTTGGCCACCAATAACTCACAATTGGAAATATCTTCGGTCGTCCTATATTAACAAAGCTATTTTAACTTCATGTGAAAATGAAACGAGCAATAACCATATATTTATGATAGTTCTATTCATTGACACAGAGATGTCAACGGTACAGCAAGAGAAAATCAATCATCTTCAAAATGTCATTGATTGTACGAAAATATTTTCCAATACAAATGAATGTATCGATTTTCTTATGAAGACTACAAACCATAGAAGCCATCTGATTATTTCTTCCAATCGCAAAGATGAACTAGTACCATTGGTTGAGAACATGCACCAAGTACATGAAATTCATATTCTTTGTGATACGCAATTGACTAATCAGCAACATATCAACCATGGCAAGACTAAATATATCTCATTCGACAATATAGAATTCTTCACAAAATTACTTCTTGAAGAGAAGAGACGATACACTGATATGACATTTACCTCAATCAGTGCCAATCAACTTGATTCGTCATTTATGTATTCAGTATTATTAAAAGAAATTCTTCTTGAACTTGAATACGATGATGAAACAGCAAAACAGGATTTCGTCGACTATTGTCGGTATGAATACGCTGATAATATTGCTACATTACGAACCATCGATCGATTTGAACATGATTATTGTCAAGATCGTGTGATTTATTGGTATAGTCAACCATGTTTCCTCTTTGAACTACTCAATCGTTCGTTACGAAGTCAGGATATTGAAATTTTAGTTCGAATGACTTTTATCCTACGACATCTTCACAAACAGATCGAACATCTTCATTCCATCACCATGTCATCAAGATCGTCTGCTTGCTTTCATGTTTATCGAGGTCAAGGTATGAATCGTAAAGAATTCGATTCTAAGATCAGAAACAAAGTTGGTGGTCTTCTTTCATTCAATAGCTTTCTCTCAACCAGTGAAAATGCAACCGTAGCAGAAATATTTGTTCTTCGCAACGATCCGGATAGTGTGGCTGTTCTTTTCGATATTATTATTGATGGAAGTATGTCACGATGTCCGTATGCTGCTCTTAGTCACAATTCTGCTATTGCTGATGAAGAAGAAATCTTGTTTTCTATGCATAGTGTATTTCGTATTCAGTCAATTGAAGAAAATATGAATGACGGTATTTGGCGTGTGAATTTAACCATGACGCATGAAAACGATCAGCAATTACATACACTTACAGATTATATAAGGAAAAGGATTGAAGGTCCAACTGGTTGGAATCGTCTGGAGAACTTACTAATGGAAATGGGCAAATGGAAAATGGTGAAACCTTTGATTGAAGTATCATTAGCCTCAAGTTTACGTGATGAAGATCATAGAAAACAAGCTTATTTTCACCATCAATTGGGATTTATCAACGCCATGATTGGAGATTATACAATGGCGACCAAACATTACAAAGAATCGCTCGCTGTAAGATCTCCAACAGATCTTCTAGGATTAGCCATGAGTCACAATGGTATTGGTTCAACGTTAGAACAACAAGGACATTTATCGGATGCATTCGATGAATATAAATGTGCGCTCTCCTTAATCAATCAACTTGATCAAATTGATATCGAAGCTATTAGTACGGTTCGAAATAATATTGCTGGTGTACTGCGACATCAAGGAAAGTTGCTGGAAGCATTGCATATGTATGAAGAGTGTTTAGAACTGGAAATCGAATATCTGCCAGCTTTGCATCCTGATTTAGCCATAACCTACGCTAATATAGCTTTGATTTATGATGATCTAAATGAATATGAAATAGCACTTAGATTCGAATTCAAAGCATTAAACATTGAACAACACTCGCTACCATCTGATCATCCGTCTCTTGCTATAACACACTCGAACATAGCGTTAACTTTGTATACTCTCAATCGCATTGCCGAAGCAGTGTCACATCTTCAGCAGACTGTTAATATTCTAACCAAAGTTTCAACATGTGATGATCCATTGCTTCTTCAACACTGCACCCTCTTGGAAAAACTTCAGCAAGAACTGTAATATTGTCTCGCATTTATAAATAGTTTCCAAGCAATTTCAACCTTCTTATTTGTTACCGAATGAAGTTTTTTAAGATTAGAAAGGAAAAGTACAGAATTGGGTGTGGGTGTGGGTGGTGGGTGTGTCTATGTTCTTCATTCACACCCACACCCACACCCACTCACCCACACACCCACACACCCACACTCACATTCACACATCCACCCACACACCCACACTCCACACACACACACACACTCCACACACACCCACACACACCCTGAAAGATATAGCCTGATTTACAGGTTTTATAGGTCGTTCTTCCTATTCACGTCCTTTTTAAAAGCACGTGCATCATCTTTCAATTGGTCTGAGAGGTAGAGTTAGATTGCCGAAAATAAAACATAGTTCCCATTTGAAACTATAGTGCAGTATGAGTAGGCATGATTGGAATCAAGTTTTTGTGACCGCAGTCCCAGTCTGAAGAAAAGAAAATTATTCAGTACTCGTTTATTGATTTATTTAGTGAATCTTCGATCGTCTCTTTTGAATTATGTTCTGATTTATAAGATTATTCGCTTAAAACTATAGAATATTTAACTATAATCTTTAGTTCCACTTCGGATAACCTTTTTTTCTCATAGTCTAAGTCTCCGGTGACCGAGACTAAATTTGTTTTTCCGGCATGTTTTAGTACGAGCTTGAATATAGAAATCATAGCAACTGTAAAGTGATCAAATGCTATTGAACACTATTTAAGCAATCAGAATATTTATAGAGAAAATTTCGTCAAGTCTTCTATAAGGTGTTAAAGTACTACCGCTACTAACCCTAAGTACTTCAAGTGAAAACAAAACGAACTATTTTATTTACGTTTAGGTCAAAATAAGTACTTCTAATAACAAAATAACTTTACCAGAAGAAAGTAAGATTATTTATGAATAAAAAAGAATCAAGTATTAATATATAATTAATTAGTTGTAATATTAATTATGCATTAAATTATCCAAATATAAATTGGAAATCAATTCGTATTAATTCATCAACACCATCATATATTTTAAAAGTCCTTTTGTTTTGTGCATCGATACAAAAACTAATCAAATTTTATTTTTCTAATTTTACATGTAATGACATGAAAATCATATTTAATATCTGTATTATCAGTCGTTAATAATGTTGATGTATTGGTCCAGCAAGCGAAATAATTAAAGTTCGTACACTTGAAGGCACAGCAATAGGTACGCGAACAATTATTCAATTTGAACCAGTTAATTTTATAGCAATTATGATTAAATGGCAAGATTCATCTTTATCATAAATTAATGAAATTCTGAATTCATTTAAAGCGAGACAAATTTACAAACTAGATAAATTGAATAACTAAAGTTTTTTTGTTTGGTTTTAGATTGAATTTATTGATCTATACAAGAAAAAGAGTGTTGTTTTCTTGCGTTATGATTATTTTAATGAATTTTCAAACCATTGCAGAATTTTAGTCTGAAATTTTACCTGAAGACAGATCTCAATGCCACTATTATATCTTCGAAGTTTCAGCGAAAGCGGATGGTTTCTTCTTCTGAAGATATTGTCTCCTCAAAATAAAAACTATGTTTTTTTGAATGGTTTGCAAGAAACTAATGATTTTGCATTTCTATTATCTTAAAACAAAAACAGCCAATTTTGCAGGATATTGTAAGAATTATGAGAACTATCTTCGAGTAGCATGTCAGACTGAAATTCTACGATTCATTTTTTCTCGTAATATCCAATAATAATCGGAAAATTCTTTAAAATGATCATAATTGAAGAAGAAAGCACTCATGGTATTGATCCTATTCAAACTTTTATCTGCACAATGGACGAACTCGAACGAAAATTATCAATTCAAAGAGCTAATAAAAATCAAAGGCTGCTGAGTACATTACAAGTAAATTTTATGCTTAGATTCTTCTGGAACATTCGAGGACATTTCAAATTCTTCGTTGAATTTCAAATGGTCATAAATGTGATAAATAAGCGATTGTATGATACATAGCATTAAATTAACAAAGTCCTCATACAATCGAGTTCCAAATTTCAGCATTAATCAATATCATAGTTTCGGTATGTCGTTATGAATATATCAAACGGATATACACTCTAAGTTAAAATGTGTCGACTTTTTCCGTCGTAAATTATAGTGTCGTGGGTTCCAGCAAGAAAATATGTCGCACTTTAATCTGTCGTATTTTTAACCGTTCTGTGCATATATGACGACTGTTCATTCACCATTTTGTTCCGCGTGTATATGTATATATAATCTATCTGAACTATTACATGAGAATCATAAGTTTTCATGCACCACTCTATGTAATATATTTCTCGATTATATATTTCTTGTAAATATTTCGAGAAATAATGACCTCACTTTAAGAGAGATCTACCTGGCAGTAGTCTGATCAAGATCTGACTAGTCTTGCACGGTTGGATCTCAAGATCAGACTTTTTAACGGTGTTGCATCAAACACTGATGTTAATTGTGCTAGTTAAACATTGATGGATATAATGCATCAAAGAAAAAAAATTATAGATACGGTGAAACCGAGGCTCGAACCGCGATTTCAGAATGTGTCGGATGTGTCGTGGGATAATGTGTCGTACGCTTGCTGGAGAGAATGTGTTGCAACGAGCACCTCGTGTCGTGCTTGAATGTGTCGTGGAATATGTTGCGAATCACGACACATGCGACACATTTTAACTTAGAGTGTATACATAAAGGAAATTTGTCAAATTGTTAAAAAGTTCATAACAAAATATACCTCCAGTCGCAACACTAAATAAGTAAAGATTGAATGTTTTTCTGCTAGTTGATTATCCCTGAAGATAAATTCTTAAGTTTATGTGTTTCGTATCAGTAAAATGAATCTAAAGAAGATAGCTCGTGATAGTGTTCATAATGCATTGAGTTCATCACAATTTTACCTTACATCTTCCAAGATTCAAACACATAATTGATTGTTTTTCTCTTTGCTACATAGTTGCTTTTTCAAATAGACTAATACAGAGGTTCTATTCATCATTGCTTTCTCGTGATAAAATTCTTTTCTTCCAAATTCCTGATCAACTAGAAAATTTAACATAAATTGGTAATAACTATTTGAAATTAATGGTTATTTAATCGACTATGAAGTCAAATTGTATTAAAATGAATAACACACAATCGAATTTCATTGACAGTTCAATAATTGAAATCGAATCTAATTTAAAAACATACAAAAAAAATGAATAATTTACCAGCAAAAATTAGAAAATACTTTGATGTAAAACGTTCTGTAGCAACAAAATTTCCATCTAGTTATACTAGTAGAAAAAATATTTTACGATATATTATTTAAATCCAAATGAGAAGTTATTATTTACAATAGGCAAAATATTCAAGTAAACAAGAAAATAATTTTCTTAAAACTAAAAGAAAATATTTCAATTAAATATTCTCTAGTCTTTTCATAACTATTGAACAATCAATATTATTTTTTATGATATAATTTTTTTCTAGTTTCTTCAAAATCAATAGAAGTTTTTTTTCCTGGTGTTGATTGTTGATCTGCACGAATGATATGGCAACCGTCAACGTAATTAAATGAAATTCTAACTGGTGTAACAAACTCGACTCTAGCTGGAAGTTAGTTCATATTTGTGAGAAAATTGTCAACAATGCTAGCCCTCAAGACTCAAAAGCTATAATCGCTTATAGTATTACATGAAAGGATAGTAGTCTAAGTTAAATGATTGTTTATATAAATTTTTGTAAATGACTAATTTAGCTATATTCAATTTTATCGTTGATTTATTCAAATATATAAGAAAAAGTGATTTTCATTTGGAATATGAAGTTTGATTCATTTACATGGATCTGAAAAAACAACATTAAAGTTTTTTTTCATTCTTTGTGCAAAAACTTAAGTAATCATTTATTAATAATAGAAAAACAAGGTAGACAGTAAAAACTCTTATTTACTAGGAAAACAAAAGAAAATTTTTAAATCGATCTGTTACTTCATATCCATCAATAATAATTACATATGAATAAGAACAAACAACATGATAGAAACCCTATGATCGAATTAATATATCTGATGGATGAATAACAATATTACTTATTCAAAAGTAAAAACCAACTTCTTAATTTTAAATTGTTTTTCTAAAGATAATCATTCCTCTTTCAGTTTAGTAGCAAAGAAGTTTTCACTTGTAGAACTTTCATCTACTAATCCTACGTATCGACGAAACATTTTGAGGGAATATTTCTTCATTTTTGAAGTCAAAAGTATTTTCACACGAGTCGAATGATAAAAGCTCGCTCCTTAGGTATTTTTCGAGTACAATAAAAATAATAATATCGACGAAAACAAAAATTGGTTTTTGATAGAAAATAAGTCATGTGCTACTGATATTGTTTGTTCAGATTGAATCATGTATGCATATTTTATTTACTACTATCAATATTCAACTGAAAAATTGATTATATATCAGCAAATCAATCATATGAAATCGAAATTTATCTTAAAGTAGACGTATTGAAGTGATTTTTATTTTCAATTTTTTTTTCTTAATAAAGGATTTCATTTCAATTGATAAAAATACTCGTTTAAAAGTTTCAACTGGATATTAGTGATTTGATTTCAACAGAAATATTCATTCGATGGAATAGAAATCAAATTTTATGAAAACTTTTTAATTTTCTATACAATTATTTGGGTTTGTCTTAACGAGTTTTTATATAATGACAGTACAGTCGTATTCAACAGACTTGTTGATCTTGTGTTTCCAAGAAAATGAATATGTTCATTTGAATAATGCACTCTAATTAATTTTCAAAAGTCGTACGAAAAAATAATTCTATGATTTATGATTCATATTAATTGCTTTTATTTTTTCGATGATGATGATGATGAATAGAAATGTCTTCTGATCCAAAAAACAAAGAAAGAAAAGAATATCTATTATCCATGAAGGACTGTATATGAACAAAGGACAAGTATTCACATCCATGCACATGAAAAACGATGAAATTAATTCGTGTCTCATCATTTCAATTAATCATGTGATGATTAATCAAATCAATTATATTCGAATGTGCACATCATCGTCAATTATCGTTCGTCAAATTAATATCAACATCATTAGAATGTCTTTGATTGGTAATGTGTATGTTTGAACACATATATATAAGAAACACATTTTCACCAGTATTCTCATACGATTCGATCGAACAAATCATGAGCATGCTCAATAAAGATAAAACATGACACTCACATGATTTATTTTTCACGTTTACAATTTTTTATATTACTTACAATAATTAGTATTATTTTACATTATGATTTTTCATGAATGACATACAGTTATCAATGTATAATTATTTACAATATTATAAATGAAATATATTTGCAATGCTACGTATGAGTTTATAATGAAATTTATTACATAATGTTATGTTAAACCTTTGAATTCTATAGTAGGAAAAAGAAATCTATACATGTTTAATAATTATTATCTAATTTACTGAAATGTAGCAATAAAGAATGTTCAACGGTGTGGATGTGGTGGGTATCGAATTAGTAGATATGGGTGTGTAGTTGTGCGCGCGTGAATCCGTATGCGACCATGTTGGTTTTTATCTGGACGTGTCAGCGTCCAGCAGAAATAATTTGGGACGCAAAGAATTAAAATACATTAATTTCCGATGATATTTATTGATCGATATTATATAATGATGCATTTTTTTAGAACGAAATCTAGGGGTAGGTGTTATTAAAATTCATTTCTGTACAATTCAATAAATGCATTATATTACAATGAAATTTATCAATTTCGTGATGTATTAAAATGTTTTGATTTAGAATGAAACTTATTGTATGATATTGTGTTACAATGTATTATTTTAGAATGAAATTTATTGAATGATGTTATTTAAATTCATTGCTTTACAATGCATTAATTTATAACGAAATTCATTCATTCAATGATGTTATATTATGATTCATATTTTTTTACAATGTTTTTGATTTCAATGATAATATATGTTAGGATATATCGATTTATGATAGAAATTTATTCTATGATGTTTTTAGAATTCATCTGTTTTTTTATGAATTATATGAAATTATAAAAAGCATGAGAATGTTAAAAAAGAATATGATTTATTATTGATTTATACCAATAACAAGAATGGGTATGTTGTTTCAAAAATGATCTTATTTATCTTGAGAAAGACTTGAACAAATAAAGAAATAGTTGGAAGAGTAAAAAGAAAACTTCGTTTCTATTTTCTTGAAA